CCAGCCCTCAGCACCGTGTCACACAGAGCAGTGGGGACCCTGTGCCTGCTGTCCCTCCCCACGCCAAGATTCTGTGGTTGGTTTTGCTTTGTGTTCTCTAATAAACACTCAGCACGCCTGAGCAGCTCTGCTGCTGAGATGAGGAGTGACAGACATTATTCTGCTGGTTTTTGTAGCTGAAGTGCCTTGAACTTTTGGGCAGAGCTCTGCAGAGCTGTCAGCACACACAGCATGGTAGCACTGCTGCTGCATACTCTGACTTTCTTGCTGGGCAGAAGTTGGACAAACACATTTCATTTCTTAGACCTGGCACCTGCAATAGTGTGAATGAGAAAGGTAAAAGGGTTTCCTACAGCTCCAGCATGTCTCTGCATGGGAAAGGAGCTGCCTGACTTAGAGTTTGAGTAGAGCTTGTCACTGCTGTGGAGGCTGTGCCAGCCCTCTGACCCATGCAGAGGTTGATTTGGCACAGGGTGGTGCATTCAGAGCATGAACTGTGGCTTGTTCCTTGCATTTACCCTATGATGCTGGCTGTGTGGAGTCCTGGTTTCCCCCTGAAACTGCATGAGTGGTGTCCCCACACCTGCCCAGGAGAGGTCACATTCCCTTGCAGGTGTCTGTCAGGAATGAGCAGGTTGCTCTTTGGGGAGTGCTCTGTGCAGAGACTGGAGGCTGTGAGGAGGCTGAGGAGTCTGTGGCTGTGAGGGCAGCCCTTGCTGAGCACTGCTGGGGAGGCTGATGGGCTGTGCCCTCTCCTTGTTACAGCCCAGTGCAAGAGGAGGATGAGCAGAAGCGTCTCCTGGTCACAGTCTGGAACAGAGAGAGGAATTCCAGGTAAGGGGCTGCCAGCTGTCATAGGATCCTTTTCAGATGGGGCTGTTGGGACCCTGCCTCCTGCTCTGGTGACCCCATGTGAGCTCCCCCATGGCCCTGGGCCCCGAGGGCTGGCCCTGACCTCAGGGCTGCTCTGCTCAAGGGCTTGGGCCAGGGATGTCCCAGCTGGGCTCACACTCGTGGGCAGCCAGTGCTGGTGAGCACCATGGGTAGGAAACCCTGCCCTTGGCACTCTGTTGCCATCGCTGCTGCTTGGTAGCCATCAGCTGGGCCAGCATTTAAACCCCTGCAGTGTTGGCCAAAGCTGGGTGGGGCTGCAGTGGGCTGGGATGCAGGGACACCAAGTGGTGTCCCCTGCCTCCTTGGCCAAGCTCCTGGCAGCACCAGGCGGGCTGGAGGTGAGGAGGGTGCTCCAGCCCAGCTCCTCCTTGCCCTGCTGCAGCTGAGCCCTGTGCTCACCCCGTGCCTGCTCAAACCAGGGGGCAGGGGCACGTCCTGGGCACTGCCTGGCACCCAGCATGGGCAGGGATGGTCGGGGGCTCCCTGAAAAGGGGTGCAAGGGGGGATCTGGTGCTTCAACAGGCGTGTGCTGACAGTCCCTGGGCTCTGGCTGTCCTGCAGGCAGAGTGAACTCATCGGCTGCATGAGCTTTGGTGTGAAGTCCCTCCTGTCCCTGGACAAGGTACCAGTGTCCCAGTGCAGGGTGTGGGGCTGGGGTGTGGCTCTCTGGGGTCTCTGGGATTGGTGGGGGGATGAAAACAGGCTTTTCCCACCATGGGAGAAGGGACCTGGGGAGCTCCCTGCTCCCATTCCCAGTATGCATGGCCAGTGTGAGACTGGAGTCCGTGTGGTGGTTGGAGATGGAGGCTGTCAGAGAGGGCACAGGGGATGTCACTGCCTTGGGCACAGAGTGGCAGCCATTGGGGGTGCACAGGGATGTCCCCAGCACATGCTGGCTGCCCAGTTTGCAGGGGGGGGACACAGGACATGGGGCCAGCCTGGCATGGGTCACATCTGACACGTGTGATAGTGGGACACATTCAGGAGCCTGCCTGATCCCAGCCGTGTGCTATGGGCAGAGGGCACACACAGAGGTTTTCTGGCAGTTCCTGCAGGAATTCCGTGCCAGAATCGCTGTCCCTGCTGCCATGGGTTTGGTCACAGTGCTGCTGCCCCAGCCTGGCTGCTGCTGTTAGTACAGCTGGCTCTGCCTTCCTCTGCACGGCGTTCCATGGGAATGCTTCATCCCAGTGCCCACCGGGGAGGGATTCTGTCCCTGGGCACCAGAATGTCTCACCAAGCTGGAGGGGTTTCATGGAGGTGTTAATACATCCCCTGAGCTCACAGAATCACAGAATATCCTGAGCTGGAAAGGACTCACAGGAAGCATTAAGTCCATCTCCTGCACAGACAATCCCACCTGGTGCCTGAGAGCATTGTCCAGATGCTCCTTGATATTTTTAATTTCCATGCCTGAGGTGTGGACATTTTCTTCATAGCAGCAGACTAAAAAGGAGCTGTTGGTGGCAGTGGCCTGAGAGGTGGGTGAGAGGTGGCTTAAGCATGGCCTCCTCTGAAATTTGGACAGGTGAGGTGCAGCTTTTTTAAAACAGTGTGGTGCTTGTGGGACCTCAGCAAGGCTGAGATGAGATCCTGTCCCCTGGCTGCTGCATGACACTGCTGGATATCCCTCTAAAAACCTGGAATCTTGTTGCTTCAGTGTTTCTCATCCCCCCTTTGCAGGGAGGATGGAATTTTAGCTGTTGCTGGGAGAAGGACTGTGTGTGTGTGAGCAGGTGTGGGCACCTCTGAGTGCTGTAACTGGGGCAGCTCCAGCCCTGGCTGGGTGAAATGGGGCTGAGCATCTCCCCCTGCATGCACGGCTGCTTCCCTCCCCACAGGACATCAGTGGCTGGTATTACCTCCTCGGGGAGGACCTGGGCAGAACCAAGCACCTGAAGGTGGCCATGAGGAGGCTGAAGCAGAGCACAGGTGTGTCCCACCACGGGAATATCCCGGGGGGTGTTGGCAAGGCTTGGGAGAGGAGTCACTGCGGTGTCTGAGCCTGTGTGTGGAGCAGCCCCAGCCCCACTGCAGCCTGTGCCCCACGGGCACTGCTCAGTCCTGTGGTGCTCAGTGGGCACTGGGATCCCAAAATCCTGTGGGGTGGAGATCCTGACTGGTTCAGCAGTCCCTGCTCTCCCCTTCAGCCTCACTTCTGGGGCTCTGTGGGGACCCCGACCCTGCAGCCACATCTGTCCCTCTTGCTTGGCTTGTCTTCATGCTGCCTTCTGCCTCTCAGACATTGCTGTGGCCACACTCTCTTTGCCCCTGGGGTCTGTGCTGGATGGTTGGGAGCTTTTTCTCCTGCCAAGGTGGCTGCAGAGTGTGGAGGAGCAGGGGCTGGCACGGGGCAGGTGGGGCAGCAGTGTCACCTTGTCTCAGGTGTGCAGCCACCCTCACTGCTGCCTGCAGGGGATGTGCCCATGACCTGTAAAGGCCTCATGTGCAGTGTGGGGTTGTCAGATGTGCTGTCACACTCATGGGGCCTTTTCATTGGAAAAATTCTTTTTGAAATAATTTCAGAAGTCAAGCCAGGAAGCCCAAGTGCAGCCCAGGAGAGGCAGGACGCTGGGACCCTGCAGCAGCTGAAGGTGGGTGTGACAGGGTGTGACAGGGTGTGACCTGTGGGGTCGGGTGCCTGCCTGAGGGGTTTGCAGATGAGCCAAGGGACAGTGTTTTAGTGAGGTGATGCTGAGGTGAGGAGCTGTCACCTCCCTGTCACACCATGGCTGTCTCAATTTGTTACCCCAGTCAGGCCCCAGTTGGTAGAGGGGGGTGATTTGGGTGCTAACCCCCATTTCCTCAGGGACCTCCTGTTTTTCCAGTGTATTCCCACTCCAGACAAAGCAGCAGCACTGGGATGGCAGGGCTGGGGCTGGCAGGCTCCTGTCCCACATCAGAGCATCAGCTCCTGCCCTGCTCTGTGGCTCCTTGGCCACGTCTGCTCCTCTCCTCCTTCCAGGACCGTGTGCTCTGGGAAGAGAAAGGCCCATGGTGGAGCCTGGGTGATTTATAGGAGAGGCAAGGATGGGAAATGGGAACACAAACACATGGTTTGCATCGGAAACGGGGCTCGGGTGGCCCCGTGATTTATCTGTGCCGAATTCCGCCCTGTGCTTCCCTCAGCTGCATTTGCAGTTATTTGTTTTACAGCGCAGGGCTGAGCAAGACAAACAAAGCCAGCGCCCCTCTCCTCCCTTCCTCTCCGGCAGTCGCCACTGACTTGAAAGGTGGTGGCTGGGAAGGAAGGCTGCTCCTCCTCCAGCCCCAGCCCCATCTCCAGCCCCAGCCCCATCTCCAGCCCCATCTCCAGCCCCATCTCTATCTCCAGCCCCAGCCCCGTCTCCAGCCTGGCTGCTCAGGACAGTGCTCTGGTGGCTCTGCCGCCGAGGTTCCCCTGGGAATGCTGAGGCTCCTCATCTCTCTCCCTGGCCTCCCTGGCCCTGCCACCCCAGCTACTGTGTAAGAGAACCTGGATTTTGGGTTCCCCCCAGCCTTCCCTCCTTTGTCATTATCCTGTAGGAGTGTGGAAGGTGTTTTCTTCTCTGTTGGAACCCCCTCTCCAAGGAGTTGTGTCCAACTCTGGCAGTGGGGCAGCTGAGCCTTGCTGGCTGTGGTCAGAGTTCCTCTTGGCCTCTAATTCCCAAATTCCACCATGGATGCAGCTCAGTTGACCTCGATGCTCCCCCCTTGGTGACTTTAGAGCATAAAGCACCAGGACGTGCATATCCTCTGTGTCTGTGCTTTCAAAAACAAACTCTGCTTTTTGTTTCTAATTTTTTTTTTTTTGCTTCTATAAACCCAAACCTCTGATTTTTTTTTTTATGAGCGTGGAGTTGTGTCTTTCATGGGGCAAGGCTCTCACAGCCAGTGCCTGTGAAACGCCGCTCAAACATCCTCCAAGTGTTTGTGAGAACGTCGCAATAACAAAGCGCTCCGTGCGCCTGAAGAATGCCACGGGAACAAAAGCCACATCAACAGAGCTGGGACTAGGGAATACTAAAGAGTTGACAGGAATTTTAATATCAAACTCTCTCCCTTCCTCGTCAGAGAGGGTTTTCAGGAAGCCTCTGGCTTATCGTGGAGCGGCATACAGCGCTCGCAGGGGCCGGGGAGGTGAAAGGTGGCTTCCTGCCATTCTTCTCTGGAGCTGGGTTCCCATGGGCGGTCATGCCACTTTGACTGGGGCTCCTTCCAGCGCGGCTCGTGCGCCGCGAGGAGCCCGGGATCGCTGCGGGAGCTGCGGGGTTTTCATGGGGTGCCAGCCATGAACCGCTTCAATGGACTCTGCAAGGTGTGCTCGGAGCGGAGGTACAGGCAGGTGTGTATCTGCCCTGGCACGAGCCTGGGCCAGGCTGCAAACCTCGCGTGCATTTCTGGCTCTCTGGGAGTTCTCTTGCCGTGCCTGGGCTCCGTGGGTGCTGCTTGTGAGGCATCGACTCGGTATCGTTGCAATTTTTAAATTATAGTGAGGATGGAAGGAAAGCAGCTTCACATCGGTGCCTGTGGCTGCAGTGAAGAAATGGGCAGAGAGGGGTGCTTTTAAAATATATATAAATTATTAAGATATATAAATATATGTAAATATAAAAAATATATTTACTGTACAACTTGCAGGTAGCATGCTGATGGTAACAGTGTTAAGCTGCAAGGCGTTGTCTTAATTTCCCTCTTATTAGAGAAGAAGCAGGCACAGCAGGCTGCTACTATCTCTTTTAAAATGCTTTTAGTGTTTTTGGGAGCTGATAGTGCTTGTTTCCTGAGGAGTAGTTCGCTGTGCTGGTTCCAGTTCTCCCAGTGCACAATGCCAGGTGCTGCTTCTTTTCCATGTGCAGGTCCCAGTCTTCTGCATTTCATAGAAATATTCTCTCCGGATTGGGACTCCCAGCTCAGAGTCAGCTTCTCCCTGTGCTCCTAAGCTCATTGTTTAGGTTATTCCACAGCTGCTGTGGGGGACAGCAAATATTGGGAATTACAAAAGCAGCAGAATTCCAAACCCAACTGCCCCCTTCTTGCCAGGGCTGTGGTGATCATCTCGTGCAGGAAAGTTGCTCTGCCTTGGCTGAATAACAACTGACTCTGCTTTGTCTCTTAGACCTCCTCAGGTCTTTATTTTAAAAATTTCCTCTGTGTTTTTTGGCAAACTTTGGGTACAGCAAGCCTCCCCATCCACCTCCCAGCTCATGGCAGATGCTCATAGCTCTCTAGTTCTGTGCATGGCAGCAAAAATGGACGAAAAAAGGACAAAAAATGGGCAAAAAATGGGCAATCACTGCCTGTGATGGCCATGGTGGTGGGAGCTGAGGAGTTTCAGCAGGGAGGAGCTGCAGTGGCACAAGGGCAGCCAGCTCAAGGAAAAGGAGACCTGGCACAGGGAAAACCTTGGGCTGGGAAGTGCCTCTGGAGTCTCCGTGGTGGGAGAGATGCTGAGCTGGCTCCTGAGGTGTGCTTGGTGCTGGAGATGAAATGGATAGGATTTCCTAGGATATGGAATATCTTGGGCTGGAAGGGACCATGGACTCCAACTCTGAGGTTCATTCAAAGATGCAGAGCCACCTCTTTGAGGAACCAGCAAACTCCAGAGAGAAAACTAGTCAGTGTAGTGGGACTGGAACTGTGTTTTGATCCTGCCAGGGCAAGCCAGTTTCTCTTTTGAAGCCTGATTTTATGCTGAGCAATCACGCAGGGACAAGGTGCAGGGAAATGAAATCTGGCTGCCGTTGCCCTCCCATGGTAAAGGAGTGAGGAACCATATCACCTCCTTGGCAACTTCTGCTGAATTCATCTTCCTTCTGCCTGTTTGTTCTCAAAATAATACAGGTCAGATGCTGGATTTTTAATTTTCTTCTCTCTGTCAGTAAAACAAGCATCTTGACTAATGTCTTGGGGGCTAATCAGGTATTTACAGGATCTGTCACACTGAGCTGCTGCTGGAAGCCAACATCAAAAAATAAGCATCATTTTATTAATAAGCTCAATGCCCCTCGAATCAGGAGGAGAAATGAGCCTAAATGAACCCAGCATCCGTCCTCTCCAAACTCAGCAGGGGAAAACACACTCAGCCCAGGGAAGGGGGTGATGCACACAGATGTCTGGAGGACAGCAGCGTGCTGAGCTCGCAGCTCCCTCCAGAGCAGGGGAGTGCTGCTATTTCTGTATTCTCCAACAGGAAATGAAATGTTTAAGTGACTTGCTTAGAGAAGTCAGTGTCAGGGCCAGACTGCCAGGTTTTTCTTTCCAATGGCTTCTCAGACCTTTCCTTACACTTGGAAGAATTGAGAGCAGAGTGTGTGTTATAAATAAACGTTCCTTTTGTGGCATTCCAGAGACCCTTGGCCGGAACTGGCACTGCCCTTTAGCACCCTTTATCCATGGGGGTCACAGTGACAGCCCTTCCCCATCTCTAAAACATTTCCAGAGGTGTGGGGCAGTGTGGGAGTGAGGGCCATGGTCACACACAGAGGCTGCTGTCCCAGCTGACAGGCTCCTGTGTGTCCCTGCAGATCACCATCCCTCGGGGCACTGATGGCTTTGGCTTCACAATCTGCTGCGACTCCCCAGTCCGTGTGCAGGCAGTGGACTCTGGTAAGAGACTGCATCCTTTTTATTCCTCTAGATTTGAAGGAATTATTGCTCATTTTTTGCTTCCCAGAGCTGGTTGTGATTCTGGAGCTCCCACGTCTTGCAGGACTCTGGGTACCTCCAAGAAACTTCATTAAATGAATTCTCTTTTGCCTCTAATGAGGTCAGAGGCCTCTGGGTTAGCACTGTATCACTATTTTGCAGTAATTGGCAGAGATTTTGTTCCTTTCTCTGTCCAGCCTGAGAACTGCCTGTCTGGTTGGGTCACCTTTGGAAATCATTTGGGGGGAAAACAGGTCAGAGGGGAGCAGGATTGTGGGAATCCTCAGTTCCCTGAGCAGATCCTCTTGCTGTGGACCTGTGGTGTCTCCAGTGTGTCCTGTTGCTCCCCACTGCACCCCAGGAAACACGGGAAGTTCATGCAGCAGCTCTGAGAGAGCCCTGATGGCTCCATCCTGGTGCTGTGTGTGTGTGAATGTGCTGCAAGGCAAAGCTCCAGACTGGCTGACCCCACTTCATTTTTGGGTGTGGGTGTCTGATGGGGTTTGGGGGAGGGAGTGGTGCAAGCTGTGGAGCTCTCTGGGTATCTCCAAGCTCCAGGGCTTCTCCTCCCCCTCCCACTCCTCCTCCTGCCTGGCAGGTGACTGGAATTTGTCCCTCTCAGGTGGCCCAGCAGAGAAGGCAGGTCTGCAGCAACTGGACACGGTGCTGCAGCTGAACGAGCAGCCTGTGGAGCACTGGAAATGTGTGGAGCTGGCACACGAGATCAGGTGAGTGTTCCCCAAAAACCCCGGGGCTGGGAGAGGTGGTTTGAGGGAGCCCAGGGCAGGGCAGTGGGAACATTGAGTGACTGTGGGAAAGGGAAAGCTCTGAGGGATGCAGGACACTGGGAAAGGATTCCCTGGAGGAGAAGGAAGGATGGAGAGCCTGGGGAGCACAGAGAGGGGCAGATGCTTTGGAGGGAGGAAAGGCTGCAGGGCTCATCCCTGGGCACGGATGCTCCAGCCCTGATTTTCCCCACCCCATCCATCCCATCTGCTTTCCCATGCCAGGAACTGTCCCACGGAGATCATCCTCCTGGTGTGGAGGCTGGTGCCTCAGGTGAAGCCAGCACACGAGGGCATGGCCCGCAGGTCGTCCTGCAAATCCTCCTGGGAGCTGCAGTGCCCCCCGCAGAAGAGGGAGAAGAGCGGAGCCGAGCAGCGCCGCAGCTGCCACGTCCTGTACGACGGCACCGAGGGGCTGGGGCTGCACACCTGGGACAGGTACACCGAGCTGGGCAAGCGGGGCCAGAACACCCTGCCAGCCCTGTCCCGGGTGCCCTCTGCTGCAGACCAGAACTACATCATCCTGGCTCCTCTGAACCCTGGCAGCCAGGTAGGGCTCTGTGCTGCAGCCTCTCCTGGCCCCTGCTTCAGTCTTACCCAGCATCATCTCTAAATATTTGCCGGCTTTACAAGGCGCACCTCTGTCCCTTGGTGGAGCTTTCACTCTTTTCCTAAAACATTTCCCTGCTGCATCCCCTCGGGGCTCACCCCAGGGATATGGGGAGGACGTGGGGAGTGTTCCCACTGCACAAGACCACTCTGCAAGTCACTGTTCTCATTTTCTGCTGCAAAAATGGTGTTTTCCCCTCTGAAGTGCTTTGGTTTGGCTGGGTTTGGCACCTTAACTCTTGTAGCTGTCCCTGTACCTGAGGCCTGCTGCAGGTGACCGTGTCCCTCTGTCCCTTACAGCTGCTGAGGCCGGTGTATCAGGAGGACAGCACTGCTGTGGGTAAGTTGTGCCTGTGCTGGGAATGCTGCTCAGAGCACCCAGCTCTAAGCTGCTCGTCCTGGCACCTTCAAATCCTTGTCCTGAGCTCATGGTTTGAGGGCAGGAGCAGCCCAGGGATTTTTGGGAGGGATCATCTTCCCACTGTGACTCAAACCCAGAAGCAGAGTGTGCCATGGGGTGAGCCTCATGGGAGAAGGTCTGTGGAGCTCACAGAGGCTGCTGGGGACTTCCCACCAGGCCAGGGTGAGAAGATGAAGTGTGAGAGCTCTGAGCATCGTGGTTCCCCACATGTCCATGATGTGTGCTCCTCCTCATCCAGAGGCCTTGCTGGGAGAGCCGAGCCCCTGCTCTGAGGCTCCCTTTGGTGCCACAGGATGGAGGGTGCCTGTGCCTCACATCAGTGCCAGCAGAATTGCAGCTGCTCGTGCCAGCTTTGGGGAATATTCAAGCCCTGGGCTGCCTCAAAGTCTCTGGGCCAGCTCTTCTCAAAAAACCTTTGAAACTTAAACTCACAGTACAAACCACACCTGTGGCAGGTGTGTGTGGGATGCCTGGAGCTCCCTGGGGATGGTTGGACTTGTGGGAAGAGTGGGCTGAGGTGGTGGCAGGGCTGGGCACTGCAGGAATCCAGGTCCATGTGGAAATAGCCCGTCTGCTCGTGGATTTGGGAGCTCTGGGAGGCTGTGCTTGCACCCTGGCCTGTGTGGATGCCCTCAGGATGAGCTGTGTATCCCGAGGAGAGCTGAGCTCTTGGAGGAGAATGAATCCCTCAGCATTCCCTGGCTGGTGAGGGCACAGCTGGAAAACTCGGTGCTGTCCCTGACGTGGGGCAGTGTCCAGAGAAAGCCAAGAGTGGGGCTGGCAGAGCCATGGGAGAGTGCTGGGGAGCAGGAGGGGGCAGCTGTGGGTGCCAGGCCCCCCTGCCTTGGGTGCTCCCAGCCCTGGAGCTCTGCAGCCAGGAGAATTTTCCACTCTCAACTGCAGGGGATGTTTTGTTCTGTGGATAATTGCAGCTCTTTCCTGCTGTTTGTGGAGCCTGTGAAAAGATGAGCTGCACCAGGGGACTTGTTCGTACAGTGGGGTGGGATTTGAAAGGCTTGGGCTTCTTCCCATAACAAATTTTGGATTTTTATGGATTTGTTTTTAATTATTTAATGCTAAGTTCAGAGGGAGGAAGGTATCAGTTAACCTGAGCAGGGATGAAGTGTGGCAGCACAGAGCTGCCCACCCAGTGACAGGAGCTGACATTTGGGTGTGTTTCTGTGCCAGGACCTGTGCAGGTGATTATTTCCTGTGATAAAATGAGGTGATTTAGGGATAAGAGCAAAAGCAAATCCTGAACAGCTCAGACAGATCTTATCTGTCCTGTGCTGAGCTGTGTCTTGTGCTTCGATGTTATCTGGCAGTGCAACCAGGGAAAAGGGAAAAGGGAAAATGTCAGGATTAATGCACTTAGAGGTGGAAACAACCTCTTGGGTCACGAGGGTCCCCCCAGCAGAGGCAGCTGCTCCTGCCAGCAGTAAACAGCCGAGCTGGTTTCCCAGCCCGGCACTGGCTGCCTCTGCTGCCTTTATCTGGGAGTAAATGTGCTATTTCCTAATACTTAATGCAATGTGTAATGCTGGGCAGGTTTGTGTATTTGCTTTGGACGAGACCTTATCTGCCCCTGGCCATGGTCGGGAGTGTTTTGGCTCATTCCTGCCTGGGAAGGTTCTGGGCATCCACTACAGTGCGACAGTAAAAAGCTGCTCTGGGGGGAGCAGAGGCTCCAGGGTGGCTGCAGGGAGGGAAGGAGGGAGCTGGGGGTCCCCAAGGAGCTGCAGGAGGGATGCTGGGGGTCCCCAGGGAGCTGCAGGAGGGATGCTGGGGGTCCCCAGGGAGCTGCAGGAGGGATGCTGGGGGTCCCCAGGGAGCTGCAGGAGGGAGCTGGGGGTCCCCAGGGAGCTGCAGGAGGGAGCTGGGGGTCCCCAGGGAGCTGCAGGAGGGATGCCCATTCCTGTTCCTGAGACATTCCTGTGAGGGACAAGGAGCTCCAGCTCCTCACCAGGATGTGTTCAGTCGCAGTGGAGAGCTCTGTCTGCAGCCCTGAGCTGGCTCAGTTCATCACCTACAGGAGGAGGGAGGAAGGAAATACATTGATTTTTCAGTGGGGTTTCTTTTGAAGATGTGAAATTTTGGTTAGAAAGCCGTTCAGTTCCTGTTGGATGTGTTGCCTGGAGTTTTGGGGCAGAGCACAGGTCGCTGGTGTCCAGCAGGACGTGGCCTGAGCTCTGCTCGAGCAGCTGAGGAGGGAATGTGCAGGAGAAAGCCTCCTGTAATCCCTCCTTTGAGTGAGGATAACTCTCCTCAGGGAAGAGGGACAGACTGAAAACCAGTCAGGCTGCTAGAACCTTTTCCAGCCCCAGAATGTAATGCTGAAAACCAGAGGATGATGTGATGCCACCCTCATGAACAATGAGATCATCCTTTATAAATACACCCAGTGTCTGAATAATCATTGCTGGCAGCAGCAGGGATTGATCCCAGCCATGAATGGGTTTGTAACTTCTGCCTCTTTCTCTGACACCTCCAGTCTCAGTGTCTTCTGAGAACTGTGATTAACCCACTGCCCCATGTCATGACATTCCTGCACTTTGCTGACTTCCATGCCCAGAATCTGGAGCAGGCAGGACTTGTGTGGATAAAAATGTTGAAGTCCCTCTCCAGCTGGCAGGGGCTCTGAGCTCCCCCTGGATCCTTCTCCTCTCCAGGTGAGCACCCCCAGCTCTCCCAGCCTGGCTCCAGAGCAGAGGGGCTCCAGCCCTTGGAGCATCTTGGTGTCTCCCCTGGACTCTCCAGCAGCTCCAGGTCCTTCCTTTTCTGGGACCCCAGAGTGGGACAGAGCTCTGCAGGTGGAGACTCAGGAGGGCAGATCAGAGGGCAGAGCACCTGGTGGGATGTGTTGGCCTGAAGCAGAGCTTGCTGTGGCCTCCTTGGGGTCCTGTTTGTACCTTCCCAGCCGTGTCTGTGCTGCTGTGGCACCCACTGAAGTCCTCGGGCCACCAGCAAGGGGCTCTGGAGCAAAGACACCCAGGGTCATCTTGTTTCCCATTAGAAAAAAAGGAATCAGTGCTGTTATTTCATGAATCCCTGGGACACCTGGATAGCTGAGTGATGCCTGTCCCTGCAGCACTTGGCTCCAGCAGTTTCCCAGGATTTCCAGCCTGGAAAAGCAGGACTGGGCTGGAGTGGGCAGAGCTGGAGCTCCCTCCTCATTCTGTGTTTCCTTCTGCCTCCTCTGTCCATCCAGGGAATGGCTGTAAAGGGAAATCCCACACAGGCTCTGGCAGGAAATCCAGGCTGATGAAGACTGTGCAGACCATGAAGAGCTATGGGAACTACCAGAACTGCACCATAGTGAGGCCTCACATCCCCCATTCCTACGGCACCTACGTGACCCTGGCTCCCAAAGTGCTGGTGTTCCCCATCTTTGTGCAGGTCAGTGCAGCTGGAGGGGCCTGGCATGTGATCAGTGCCCAGGCTGGGGCCAGCCAAGGATCTCCTCCCCAGCAGGATCCTGTCACCCTCAGCTCTCCTCTGGAGCTGGCTGTACTTAGCACAGTGCTGGGGGCTGTCTCAAAGGGAACTGTGTCCTGCCCAAGCAATTCTGGGTTGCATTTTTTTCTCCTTTTCAGCTTTCAAATCTGGCCCTTCATACTTGCTTGGGTCAGGAGGAGGTGTCCCAGCTTTTGGGCTTCAGAGCTTCCTTTGGAATTCCAGAGCAGTGTGGTTCTTCTTGAGGGTTCTTTGTGCTATCAGTGTGTGCAAAAAACAAAGGGGCTTTAGTTTAGCTGGTGGTCACACTAAAATTTGGGCAACTTCTGCCAGGGCCTCACTATCCTTACAGGGAAGGATTTCTTCCCAATATCCCATCCAGCCCTGCCCTCTGGCAGTGGGAGCCATTCCCTGTGTCCTGTCCCTCCATCCCTTGTCCCCAGTCCCTCTCCAGCTCTCCTGGAGCCCCTTTAGGCCCTGGCAGGGGCTCTGAACTCTCCCTGGATCCTTCTCCTCTCCAGGTGAGCACCCCCAGCTCTCCCAGCCTGGCTCCAGAGCAGAGGACAAAGATCCAGAGCAGGAATGGTTTGACAGGGAATGTTCTGCCTCTGCAGTTCCACGAGCTGTTTTAAGAAAACAGCCCTGAATTTGGTGGTAGTAGTTCTAACTCTCTGTGTCCTTCATTTTGTCCCTTCATATGGCCAGAACCCCCAAAAATCTCATCTGCTCCATATATTTTAGTAGGTTGCTGATAAATCCCTTCCTTTCTGAGCCTGTGGGGAGCCCTTTGTCCTCCAGTGGCAGTGGCATTGTCACCTCAGCTCAGCCTGGTGACTTCCTCTGGAGTGGAACCATTTTCCACATCCCCTGCCACTCCAGCCCGAGCCATGGGCTGCCTGAGGCCAGTGTGGGCTGGGCTAGAGCTGGGGGCAGGTGCTTGATCCCCTCTCTCCTCCCTGATGGCACCTGGGCGACCCCAGCTTGTGTTCACCTGGGCTCTGCATGGTTGGCCTTTGGCAGGAACACCACTGGCACCTTCTGCCTCCTTACTCCGAAAACTCATCTTGGATTGTGCCTGGGAATCTGCCACTGCAGGAGCTGGTTTTTCTCTTTGCACTGTCTTATCTGCAGGGCCCTGTGCAGATCCCCTGCTGCTCCCAAGTGTGGTCCCAGGCTGGTGGTGCAGGGTTTGTTCTGCACTCAGGACACCTGAACCTGTCCCAGTCTCCAGCACAGCCTGGGCAGCTGGGTGTGGCACGGGAAGGAAAAGGAATTCTGAGAAGTTGCTTTAGGTGTGATGTGCACCATCAGGTTCAAATAGTGGTGCCTGAGGGACGTGGGAACCTGACGTGCCAGCACTGTGGTTGTGCTTCCTGCTGACAAACACCCATAACACCCCGTGCACAGAGCCCCTGTCAGAGGCAAGGGTTTGTCATTTCACAGCTGGGGCTGACGTAGGTGTGAGTGCAAGGCTTTGTTTTCTCCTCTGGCTGGACTGCAGACTTTGTGTCCTTCTGGGCACAGTGCAGGGTGGCTTCTCCCCAGTGAGTTACAGCTCAAAGTGAAGACAAAGTGGGTTTGGTGGGTGGAAAGTGTATCTCACAAACCACACTGCTGCTGGAAGGTTTGACTGTTCCTTTTTTTTTTTTTTTTTTTTTTCCATCCAAACATAGCCCCTGGATCTTTGTAACCCAGCCCGGACTCTGCTGCTGTCGGAGGAGCTGCTCCTTCTCGAGAGCAGGAACAGAACTACACAGGTAAACTCTTCCACGTTGTCTGAGCTCTCCAAACCTGCTCTTCTGCTGTCTTACAGCAGAGGATTGAATCATAGAATCACCATGCTTTGGGTTGGGAAGGACCTTAAAGCCCATCCAGTGCCACCCCTGCCATGGCAGGGACCCCTCCCACTGTCCCAGGCTGCTCCAAGCCCCAATGTCCAACCTGGCCTTGGGCACTGCCAGGGATCCAGGGGCAGCCACAGCTGCTCTGGGCACCCTGTGCCAGGGCCTGCCCACCCTGCCAGGGAACAATTCCTGCCCAATATCCCACCCAGCCCTGCCCTCTGGCAGTGGGAGCCATTCCCTGTGTCCTGTCCCTCCATCCCTTGTCCCCAGTCCCTCTCCAGCTCTCCTGGAGCCTCTTTAGGCCCTGGAGGTGACTTTGAGAAGGGACTGGAAGGGACACCTCATTACATTGAGAAGGGAGATGTTTCATTATGCAGTAATTATATTGATATGATACCTGGAAAGACTTCTGGTCAGTTTATTGTGGGATAAACTAAAGATCAAAACTCTGCTGTGATAGAAATGAACTGTTGTTCCTGTTGCCTTTGGGCTCATGGAGAGGAAACTGTGGTGGCAAATGCACATCAGTGACAGCCCAGCAGACCCAGGAGGAGGGGGTTGAGGGATATTTTGTGCCAGGTTAGAGAAGCACAGAATGACAGAATGGTTCAGGCTGAAAGGCACCACTGGAGGTCATGCAGTCCCATCCCCTTGTTCAGGGATCCTCTGAAATTACTCAGGATTGTGTCCACATGGCTTTGCAGAGTCTCTAGGGAAGGAGAATCCACAACCTAGAACTAGAACCAGACAGAGAACTTGCTACAGATGTTCTCAGAATTTCAGTTCTTGAAACAGCTCACATGTCCTGTCCAAATTCCTCTCGTTCTTCTTACTTCAACTTTTCTGCCATGTTATTGGAGAGCCGTTGGAAATCTGGGGACACAACAGGACTTTGGCACCCTGTGGATGAGACAACTTTCAAACTGGCAGAGTTTGGATGTGTTGATCACATTTGCTGCTGGCTTCACTTCGCATCCAAGTGCAAAGTCTGCAAAGCCTTGGAATTTGGGAGTGAGGCAGAGCCCACTCATGCACTGCTAGCCAGTGCCATTTCTTCTGGGGTAGTTTCAGAGGCTCTCACAGAACAATTTGGGGTTGAATTCAGTTGGTGTGAACAATGGTGTGAAAAAATCTTCACAGATTTGCAGAGGAAGTTCTACTTCATTTGTTTTAGTTTCTGGGTGGGCAATAGCAGAAGCCCAGAGCCACTTCCCATCACTGGCCAGTACAAACCAGTAAAGGGTTGTGCCAAGTGACTCCTCTCTCTTTCCTTGTCCCTGAGCAAACTTTCTCCCATCTCCTGAAGGAGTCAACCTCTCTCTCTGGAGGCTTGCCAGGGTCTGTCCTTTCCCTGACCTTACCTCTGGGGCAATCCTTATTGAGGCCTTAATCACATCCTGTCTAGACTTTGCTGCAATTCCCACTTTTCTGGTCTCCTGAAATCCCTCCAGCCCGTGGAGTGCCAGAGGAGCCAGTGGGGGACAGCACACGAGGTGTCACACGTGGGCTCTGGCCTTGTCCATCCATCTCCAATGGACCTGCAGGCCTCCCAAAGCCCTCAGGTGTCTGCTCAGTGGGGGCCACTCTCCTGGCCCTCTCATCCCTCCTTTCTGTCCCTCTGGCAGCTCAGGATGGACCTTCTGGAGTGCTGCAACCTCATGGATGGGCTTGGCTGGGTTTATGCTCTTCTCTGTAGAGCAGGAGGCTTTCTCCTCTTTCTCTCTTCAAAGCTGCATTTCTGGGCACCTTTTCATAGTGATTTTGTGGCCACGTTTTTCTTTACAAGGTGTGATGTTGGCTCCCTCCTGCCCAGGGCAGGGTTATCCCCTCTTGGGCAGCACACTGGCCCATTGCTCCTACCTTCCCTTTTGGCTTTCACTTTCTCCTGATTTCCCTCAGGAAACTCTTGAACATGGCCCTGTCTGCTGTGCCAGTGCTTTGCCAGTTGTGTCCTGTAGCTGCTCTGGTCCCTCAGCAGGAGAGGCTTTGCTGTTTGCCATGGTGCAGAGCAGTGTGGAGACATCAGGCTCAGCCTGTGTGAACATTTCCCACCCTGTAAAATCTGTTCACAGCCCCCTAAAAGGTCCGTGTGACCTTGGCCATGTGGCTCCATCACTCCAGCAATAACCCAGGGTGCCCACCTCTGTCTTCAGACAGTCCTTCTGTCCTGTCAGCTCTTGTATTTCTGATTTTGGGGTAGGAAATTACTTCTGGTAAATACCCAAAGCTCCTTTGACCCTCCAAGGAGCAACTCTGGTGAATTCTGTGACTTGCCTGGGTGAGCCCAGTTGTGTTTGTTGTTTGTTTGCTCCTGGCTTTTACGAGCCCTGTGGTTTTTCAGGGTAGATCTGTGGTTTTTCAGGGTAGATCTGTTTGCCAAGGGCTGTTACAGACAGGTCACAGCCCACCCGTGTGAGATGGCAGCCCAGGCCAGAGCTCCAAGTTCCTCCTCCAGTCTCCCCTTATCCCTGCTGCCCTGGGGCCATCCCTGAGCCCCCTCCTCAGCTCTCAGGTGGGGGATGTGTCCCGTGCTGCTGGGCTGCCTCTGCCTCTGTCCCTGCCCTCTCCCCGTCCCCTCCTCTGTCCCTGTCCCTGCAGGTGGAAGGACACTTTTGTTTTTCCTCCAGCCTGGAGGAGCAGAGAGACCTCTACCAACTGCTCCCAGATCAGGTGTCCTCCTGGAAGCAGCATCTGACAGAGATGCTCTTACAGAACCCACACTGGATGTGCTTTTACCTTCTACATCCCAAATACAATCTGTCCCATCTTCCTGTAAAGGCTCAATGTCACCTGTAAATATTTGGTCATGTAATTCCATTTCCAAGATTCCCTATTGAAACTTGCTTGTTTTTGAAGTGATTTTCCTGCTGCTCCCAATCCTTTTTCTACCCTTTAAACTTCCACAGGTATTAGGTTTTTAGTTTCTTTCCTCCATTTCTGCTGATCTGTTAGTTGATCATGCTTTTATCTCCTTCACTTTGAGTTGCAACTCCCAAAATCCCTTCAGTATCTCTTCTTTGGGGTTGAGAGAAGTGAGATGGCACCAGACATATCCCAGAAAAGTTACCTTTTGGCACAAGGTGGGCATGGGATGAAGATTACAGTGCAATTTCTACCTGGTTATTCCTTGAATTACCAACAAGATAAGAAAGAATGAAGAGAGTGGCTGTGGGCACTAGGCCAGCAGAGTGCTGAGAGCAGAGGAAGGGATTTTCCAAATAGCACAGAGAGCAGCCCCTCCCTGGTTTCATTGTCAATTAAAGCTCCACCAGCAGCTTTGTACTTACTGAGAATCCCACAGAAATGAATTTGCACTGCAGGGAGAAATCTTGTGGCAAGGCCTTGGTTTTGGATTTGGATCCAGATGCTCTTCCCTGATGTGAGACTCCCCAGCAAGTGATAACAAACTCTTACCCAGCTTGTTCTCCTCAGGACATGTCCACCAGGCACGGACACAAACTGTGCTGTCAGCTGGGACTTGGTCCCTGTGGGTGCAGAGTCACCTCTCTGTGCTGCCTCCCACCCCTCTGGGACTCTGGGTGTTGTTTCCTTTTGCAAAAGCATTGCTGAAAGGCCACAAACCCTTCCTTGCTGTGCCTCAGAGTTGCAAAACTTTCCCTTTGCTGTGGGAGGTTTTGGGGGGCACCCCAGGGCCCTCACCCTGGGCAGGTTTGGCACCCACTGTGCCCCTGCCACATTGCAGCCGCTCCCTGGCATCTCTGGTGACCAGGGCAGGCTCAGGCTGGAGCTCAGGGCAAGGTTCTTCCCCCAGAGGGTGCTGGGCACTGCCCAGGCTCCCCAGGGAATGGGCACGGCCCCGAGGCTGCCAGAGCTCCAGGAGCGTTTGGACAGCGCTGCCAGGGATGGACAGGCTGGGATTGTTGGGGGGTCTGGGCAGGGACAGGGGCTGCCCTGGGGGATCCTGTGGGTCCCTCCAGCTCAGGAGATTCTGTGATTCCATGATTCTGTGATCTTTGAGGCTTTCTGTGTGCCCCAGCTCCTGGAGGGCAGGACAGGCTCACACCTCAGCTGTGGCACCAAGCTTCTCATCCCTGGGAGGCTTCTGGGTCCAGGATCTCCAGTCTAGTGGAGAAACTCTTTCTTATTTTAAAGGTCCCATTAATCTGAACTAACTGGGGACCTCAGGCAAGACTTTTCCCACTGGTCTGGAGCAGCTCCAGCCCCTGGGACACACTGCTTGAGCACAGCTCTGGGCACACACTCGGGCCAGTGTTTCCTTTCCACCCCTGCTGTGGTGTGAGGTGTCAGGTTTGTCCCCTGCAGCTGCTCTCTGTGGGTCCTGCTCTTGTAAAAACCAAACGTTCCTTTCTCACTGAGAACAGCAAGAAGCTCCTCCGTGAGAGTGATCAGAGCGATCAGATTTGCTTTCAGGCTGCAACTTCTGCACTGTACTGGGATTAGTCAGCAACTTACTCCCTCCTCCTGCTCTGATTTGTAACTGGTGTAAGTGGGAAGTGACAGCAGGGAGCAGACAGGGTGGGTTTGTGTGGTGTGGAATTGTCGGGCAGGTTTGTCCCTCCTGGCACAGGACTCCACGAGTCTCAGGAAGCAGCTGCCAAGTGAGGGGAGCCTCATCTGAAGGTGCAGCAGCCATCAGCCCCTTGGGAAGGGCTTCTGGGCTCCCTGCTGCCTCTCCCCAGGGCAGGGGACATTTCCAGGGCTGTCCCAGTGCCAAGAAATGAACTCCCTAGAGCTTCTCCTGTGCTGCTCCTGTGCTTGCAGGTGACTCTCTTTGTCTACTCCGACCTGCTGCTCTTCACCAAGGAGGATGAGCCTGGGCGCTGCAACGTGCTGAGGAACCCTCTGTACCTGCAGAGTGTCAAGCTCCAGGAGGGTGAGTGTCTGCAGCAGCAATTGGAGGCATTTTGGGGGTTTTCTGGCTGCTACCTGCAAAAGTTTCTTCTGGCCAGCGGCAGGAGATCACCCCACTGTCCTGTTGCTTCCAGTGCCTCCAAACGGAGCTTCCAGCTCATCCTTCCCAGGGTGCAGGGCCAGCCTCACCCCTGCTCTCCCTGCATTAACTGGCAGCTCCATCTCCTGGGGCACCTCAGGAGCACTCAGGCCCTTTCCAGCCTTTTTGGGTGCATGTCTCAGGATTTGGGCTGCCATTCCCCAGGCTCCGTTTCCCAGGCTGGTGTCACACTGTGACAGCAGGGACTGGCCAAGGCTGGGAAGGGGAACTGAAGGCTTGAGGTTTCCCTCGTGGTGCCTCGAGGGAGTTCAGAGATTGGTCCAAGGGTGGCTGGCCAAGCTCTGATGACCTTTACTTTGCTGCTTTACTTTGCTACTTCTCTCTTCAGCCGCCCACGGTTTCCCTGTTTCTCACATCCATCCCCCTGCTCACCCCTCTGGGGAGGAAAGAGCAGGGCCAGGCACCTTGGCTGACACATTTTGTGTCCAGCTGAGGGCTCAGAGAGGGCTTCCAGGGCAGGGGTGACTGGAAATGGGTTATTTCAGGCTGTACAAAAGACTCCCTTTAGCTCCTTGGGGTCTAAAGAGGAATGAGGGAATTGCTCTATCACATCCTATTTGCTACGGTGGAGCCACTTCTTGGCCCTGGGCCCAGTGTCACCTTGTTCCTTGTTGGTGTGGTTGCTTTTTGGGTATGGGCTTGTTTTATGTACAGTTAGCTGACTGTGCCACAGCTCCTCCTCCAGCCCAGGCACTGCCCTGGGAGCCCACGGGGGAAATAGGGATGAGACAGAAGGAAAAACTTTCCTGTCATGAGGTTGGTCAGAAGTTGAACTGCCCAGAGAGGTGTTGGATCTCCAGGCCTGCAGGCATTCAGGACTCGTGAGTGCCCAGGTCTGGGTGCTTTGGTCAGGGGATTGGACTCCAGAGACCACCAGAGAGGCCCCTTCCAACCTGAATTACCCTGGAAGTGATGAGCCAATGTCTTTATGCAGTCCTGTGGCCCTGACCAAAAGGAGTGAATCCAGATCTGGACTGCTTCTCCAAAGGGATCCTTTTCTGGGTGAATTTTGCTGCTTCCCATGACTTCTCCCATCTGAGCCATGAGCTCTGTGGATGGACTGTGTCTCTCCACATGCCCCACGTTGTTCTGAGCCTCAGTGCTGGACACCATAGGCTGCCTGTCAGTTGTTATTTCTCATTTCCAGCAACGTTTCTGTTTCCAGATGAATTCCATGACCTATTTGGTGGCAGCAGAAACACAAGGGAGGGAGATGGGGCACCACAGCCACGAGCCATTGAGAAAAGCCATTGAAGTCTCCCTAGGCTTTGTCGAGTGTGTTCTCAGCACTGCTAAATTTCTAAAAAAGGGACGAAAGAAATTGTTCCTTGTTAAAGTGCTTTTGGTCAGCTCCTGCACCATGTGTGTGTGCTGCCCCTGGCTGCTCCCAAAGGCTGGGGAATAGCTCTGCTCTTTTCACCTGCTTAGAGAAGTAAATCAGCTTCCCTGGTGCTGCTCCTGGCTCTGCACACTGAGCTCTGTTTGCAGCACCACGGGATTGTGCCCCCTCCACCTCAGGCACGGTGGATTTGTGAGCAGTTTTCTGCCACTTATCTCCTTGTTGCCATAATAACTTGGCTGGATCATGTGTGGAATAGCTTCCCAAGGCTCTCCAAAGGAGATGGAGTCCCTACAGCACTGGCCACCCTCTCCCCATGCACTGGGAATCTAGCACAGCTGGTGTTGGGGCAGCTCCAGCCCTCCTGCTTCGGGCAGGGCTGCTTCAAAGGCGGGTGGAGAGAGCAAGAAGATGTCTGTGCCTTTTGGCTGCTGCTCTGCTGAATGACTGAATGGCACATGAATAGGAACAGGCGTGTGGCTGCCTCCAACAATTGGGACATCTCCGGTGCGCTCAGGGCCATTGTGCTGTTTCCTGTTCCTGCCGCTCGCTGCTCTGTGCGAAAGCAAATCAGTCTGATCTGTTCACAATGCTCTCTCTTCCTGCCTTACAAGCCCAGCAGCAGCTGATGAGCAGCTCGCCAGAAGGTTCCCAGTGACACAGGCTGCCTTCCTCGCCTGACACGGGGGGAATTTCCACGCGCCGGGATCCCGGTTCCCCCCCGGTGGGTTCTCAGCTTTGGGACAGACAGGAACCTCCATCCTTCCTCCATCCCAGCTGGGATCCTGCAAACGAGGGTGTAAGGGCTGAAATGAGGGATGCGGGGCTTTAGGAGGCTCTTTAAAATGCTGTTTATTTTATTTAAATGATGCAGCAATTCATGGGTCATGGGTGACAAGAGCCAAGCCCACAGCCTTTTCAGCATCAGCTCTGGGTTTGTCTGAAGGTAACTTTAGTTCTGGTTACAATGCATTAGATACTTTTCATTGCAGAACATCTTAAAATATAACAACCAATCAATACCTTTACTACTACCTATAGCCTATCCTAACTACTAACATTACCATATTCATGGTATTATTTTCCAATCACAAGAAGTTAGTGTGTTACAGTTTAAGCTAGAAGTTATTTTTCAGTTTTCTTACAGCGGAAAATTTTGAGATCTTTCTTTCTACTTGTAACATGGCATTTTTGTTTGCCTGTGAAAATCTTTTCATTTGGTAAAAACATCTTTTGATGAGGTGGATTTATCCTTTGCTCTGAGTCATAAAAACCCCTTTCAACTCATTTTACTCTTTGGCTTCTTAGTTATGCAGTAAGACTGGCTCAGCAATTCTTTTCTTCTATATCAAAACTTGCTATCATTTCTATTCCTTCTTCAGATTCTACATTCAAAGATCTTTCTGTTACACAATCATATCTGTGAGATCTTTCTGTCAAATCCTTATCTTTCCCAACACAAGGGCTTCTCATGTGCTGCTTCACTGGCCTTGCCATCCCAACCTGCTGTGGTGTGCAGCTCCAAGATGCTCCAGGGCCAAGAGTGGGAATTATGGGCCTTCTGTCCTTCCTTGTCCCTGCTGGGGAGTACCCAGGGCTTGCACCCTGCCACACTCCCCCAGGGACATGTGTCCCAGTGGGACAAGCTTGTCCCCTCCTGGCAGCCAGGTTTGGATGTGCTCACCTTGTGCTGGGTGCAGTGCCAGCCCCGCTGGGCAGGAGTGAGGATTTGGGATCAGGGTGCCTGCCCTCACCAGGGCATTGCCACAGCCCTTGGGCTGTGCAGAGGAGCAGGAGCACCTTCCCTTTTTTCCCATCTTTCTGACCCTGCTCCAGGCATGCACCCCCAAATCCTGAGAGCAGAGGGTGCTGCTCAGGGCAGTGGATGGGGCAGAGCAGTGCTGGGCGCTGCTGCTGTGCTGGGTAAGGCAGTGTGTGCAGGACAGGGCTTAGCTGCAGAGGGGACGAGTCCCCACAGAGCTCCCACTCTGCTTCGTGCCCAGCCTGGCACAAGGATGGTTCGTGCCACTCTGGAAGCCAAGGCAGTCCTCACCACAGCACATCAGGAAGAGAAGGAAATATCTTCAAGTGAGTTTTTTTCCTCTTCTCCTGCTTATTTTTTTTTAGCTTTTCCCTGATTTTGGCTGAGAGAAAGTGCTGTGCTCTTGTCACAAGAGATGTGGGGAGCAGAGCTAGGGAACATCCCGGGCATCTGCCACTTCTCCAGTGCCAGGTTGTGTCTCTCCCATGTTTTTCTGGGTTCTGTAGCACATCAGGCTCTGCTGCTCCACCCTGACCCTCCAGAGACTTGAAAACAGGAAGGAATCCTGGCAAACCTGGTTTGTGGTGAAATCTGCACCCAGGTCTGCCCTGCCTGGCTCTGCCATTGCCCTCCAGCCTCCCCCTGTGCCTTGCCAGGGATCAGCGCTGCCTCCAGCCCAGCTGCTGGGATGGGCAGCCAGTTTATTACTGAAGTTCTCCCTAAAGGCTGATAGAAAATGGGATTTAAGCCATTCCCTAGCCCAGAGTGGCTCCCTGCTCTGTATGCCCTGTAGGCATTGAGCTGCTGGGCAAGTGAGTCCTGGAGGGACAGGGAGCAGGAGCTGCTGGCTCTGGAGGTTGCTGGTGCCAGGATTCACAGCTCAGTGGAAAGGAATTTGGAAGGGAACTTAATTCTGGTGGGTTTGGACCTTGTCAGATCACTTGTTATTGCAGAAGGAATGCACAGAGGCCCAAGAGGAGCAGGGTCATTCCCTGGTCTGTTACACTCCAACATTACCTTTCTTTCCTGAGGATCCTCACATCAGCAGGGAAAACCTGGTTAAAGCTCCTGAGGCAACATGGCTGGGATGTGTTGGACCTCTGTGACCTGCTCTGCCAGTCAGCCTGGAGAGCTCCTGGTGCAGGGAAGAGCAGGGTCCAGCTCAGGAGCAGCAGGAGGTGGTGGTGGACTCCAGCAGCAGGCACAGATCCTGCTTCCAAACTCTGCCTTTTCCCAGGAGAAAAGCACTGGGTGAAGCTCCAATGGGCTTCACAAGGAAAATGCCCCCAATGGTCCTGCTGGGATTTGTGGAGGAGGGGTTGGGAGCACTGGGACACTGCCATGGGGAGCAGGGGATGTTTCTCTGTGTGCAGGGATGAGGGATGGGCTCCCAGCCAGCCCCACTCTGCACCTGCTGCCAGGATCCAGCGTCCTTTCCCTTCTGGGAATGATGATTTGGAGGGGCAGCCCTGGAGCCAGGCTTCCCTCACCTCACCTGGGGGGAGCACAGGGAAGGTTTTGGGAACACAGGGGCTCCTCACCTGAGAGGGTCACAGCAGCACTCCCAGTGGTACTGAGCTCCAGCAGCCACTGTGACACAGTGTCCTGGTGTCCCTGCAGGGATTTTCTAGCCCATATCCTGTGAAATGCATTAATACTGAAGCTGGCAGTAGAGGCAGAGCTGTGACCCCACAAAGGGCAGCTGGAATGGACACCCAGCAAAGGGCTCCAGGCCACTTCTTCATGGGTTTCACAGGCAGTGACTCAAGAGGCACCTGAGTCCCTCAGTGGGTCACAGCTCTTATCTGGACATTTGGGCTGCTGTCTGCAGCAGGAGAATTGTTTTTCTCTGGGGAACAGGGTGTTTCCAGCCCTGTTCCCATCGAGCAGCTCAGGCTGCTGAAATGAAGCAGAGCTTGTGCTGACACCACTTCCAGTGGGATCTGCAGCCATGCCCAGGCTTCAGCCCTGAGCTCCTGGCACAGATAATGTCATTAGGAGAGTTAGGGATGCAGCAGCCCCACGGTGCTGCCAAGGGCAAAGCTGCTGTGAAGGAGCCAGCCAGCTCCTGGGGATGGATGTCCTGCTCTGGAGATGGGATGTGCTGCTCCAGAGCTGAGGTGACCCTGTCCTGGGGCAGTTTCATGTCCTCCTGTGAGGCTGGTGTATGCCCAGAGCTGGCTTCCCTCGAGGCTGGGGACACACCAGGGCCAGGGCGAATCTTCAGGCATCCATTTTGGTGCAGGGAAGGCTGGACCTGCAGGGACCAGCCTGGTGGAGCAGCTGGGGTCTGACACATCCCCTGGGATATCTGGCAGCAAGCTGAGGAGCTGTTCTGGCTGCTCCATGATTTAGGAAGATGTGGATGGCAGAGTTGGTCATTATGTTGTCCCTAGCACCATCTCCTTTCACAAAACTATGGAAGTGCAAGTTCCTTGGCTGGGTCTCCCCAGTGTCCTGGTGCTGGGACATCCCAGTCTGCTGTCAGCTCAAAAGAGCAGGGTGAACTCTTCCCCCTGCCCCATGCCTGCTGTTTCCCATTGCTCTGGGACTTGGCTCCATCCCCTTGGAGAGGCACTGCCCCAGCTACTGGCACTGGTGGAGGCTGGGACAGACAGCAGGACCACCAGGACTTGGGGAAAGAAGCTGGGAATGAGGTGTAGGAACTGGAGCTTCTCTGTCAGTCCTCCTGGGAGCAGAGTGCCCACAGGGATAAGATGGAGACACCCATCCCTGATTCTTCTGAGGGGCTTAATTGGCTGTGAGAGCTGTTTTCCCTGGGAAGCTCCCACAGGCTGCATGTGCCAAGGCAGGTTGGGCAGCAGAGCCTGCACGTGGCCTCTGACTGGAACAAACCAGAGGAGGAACCCACAGGAGAATCCCTGCCAGGGCAGCGAGTCCCTGCAGGGTCCCGCCCGTGCCCGGCCCCGGCAGATGCCATGTACGTCACCCAGGTCACAGCCTGGCACTGGGGGACAACAGCAAACATTCATTCAGTGCTGTCTCTCAGCCAGTTCCTCTGCCACTGGCTCCACTTGCAGAAATGCAGCTGCAGCTTCGCTCTGATCCTGGTTTTTCTTCTCTGCAGGTTCAGAAGATCGCAAGTTCTGCATCCTTTACCTGGCAGAGGTGAGTGGTGCTGATTTCCACTTCAACTTTCCAGTGAGAGCGACAGCTCTGATCCTTTCTTCTGGGGAAAGGAGCACTAAAAAACCTGATTTTAACTTCCCTTTAAAAGAATTTGCCAGAAGTCTGGAAAAGAAACATAATGACTGTAGAATATATGAATAAGAAGCTGCTCAAAGGAGCTTGGGCAGCCCTAGGACAGGTTTTTTTCCCCTTCTCCCTGTAGATCTTCCTTGAAGGATCTCACTTTTGTTTTCTCTTAAGAACTCTTTCCCCTGGAGGCAGATTTCTTTCCCAAATGTTTTGTCATTATTTTTAGGCACTTTGCTTTTCTTGTCTTCAAACATGCAGGTTTGGAGCCCTCAAAGAAAATAAGGAAGCCCAGTCTGAAAGACAGAATCATAGCTCTAAACCCACATGTAGCTAAGTGCTCTAACCAAATTTGGGGTGACCCAGATATTGGCACAGTCCCTTTTGTCAAGTCAAGGACTCTGCAAAATTGGTTCACACTGGACCTCCCTAATCATTGAAGGCTGTGAGTTTTTTTCCTTTTCCAGTGACTTTACTGTGTTCCTGCTTTCAAGGCCTTGTATTTTCTGAGGTGGAGAGGTGGGTCTGGGAAAGCTCCCCAGGGCACAGAGGAGAAAGGCAAACATTGCTCAGCAGCACGGTGGAATAATGAGCCATTGTGAAAGCTGGGTGCGAATGCTCAGCATGGAAGTTGTTCACCTTGAGTGGCTGGAGCTGGGCCAGGGCACGACTCACTGCAGAATCCTCCACTCCTCTCTTGTTCCTTCCCCGCCGTCCCTTCCTTGTCTCCTCTGTTCTTTCCGGGGTGGCTGGGCAGGAGCTGAGGGTTTGCTCAGTGTCCCAGGGCAATGTCACCCTGGGCTGGTGACAGCTGATCCTGGGCTGTGACTCAGCCAGGCTGTGCTGGGTGTTTGGATGAGGCTCTCCAGCGTTTTCTCAGGCACTTGGAAAAATGCACTCAGAGCCTGGTATTTGATTTAGAAGCTTAGTGCCCCTAAGTAGAAGTGACCAAAAGAGATGTGGCTGTGTTTCATGAGATCTTGAGAGGTGAAGAGGTGTCTTTGTCAGGCTGTAATGAAGTGCTGGCTTTCTTCTGAAGAGCTCTGGTGATCCCTGGCATCTGTTGTGGCTGGAGTGGAGTAGTTGGATAGAAAATGTGAGACTTTTACTTTCCTACTTCCTGTTCCCCCACAGACTTGGGACTTTCTCTGCTAGAAACTATTCACCAAATAGCTGAAACTCTTTTAACGGAGGTAGAAACAACACTGGCTGAACATCATTTTTGTGCTAAGGACTGACATATTCCTTCCAGACTCTTCCTTCACGGTGAAAACATTGACTGTTTTGTAGCTCTGACTTGATCACAGGCTCATAGATCGATATTGTCCCCCAGAGAGCACAACTCTTTTCTTTTAAGGGTCCTTATTGCATGATGTAAAACCACCTTTTTGGCAGTTTGGTATTGTAGTAATGTACTACAGTGCTAAACTACTGGAGTACTTTTAGCACTTCAGAATATACATTTACACTGCATTTCAAGCTTGCATGTAACTAAGTCCTGTCAAGGAAAGTCTTTACATAATGCATCAACATATGCTGGGGCTTTGTCTCTTTTTTTAGTACAGTATGGATTGGAGTGGCTTTTCTAAGTTATTAAATATAGCCCTAGGCAAGGCTGGCTTTTAAAATAAATGGCAAGATCTCAAAAAACATCTGGGAAAGAGAGAGAAAAAACCCCGTAGTTCTGAACTGGCCACACTGTGGGATTCTGCAAACCCTTGTGCCTCCTGTCCTCCTGGGCTATTTTGGGGCAGGTCTCAAGTGGTGTGGGACTTCCCAGTCCTTGGTGACCAGCAGCTCTGCCACATGCAGGACCCAAGAGTGGGTGTTCATCCCCTGCACTGGCCAGCCCAAGGTGACCTCACCACTCTGAGGTGACCTTGGGGCAGCCCCTGGCTCAGGGACAGCACCTTGGCAAGCAGGACGTGCCCCCTGCCACCCCTTCCCCCCCAGCCCCAGGGCTGCTGGTCTGTCCTGAGCCAGAGGCACCACCTGGCTCCAAGGGGAAGGGACAGGAACCTTCCAGCTGTAGGTGCCACCGGGCTCTCCAGCAGTGGGAAATTGGGTTTGAAAGGGGAACAGAGTGGGGATGTGTCTGTGAGTCAGCAGTGAGCCAGGGCAGCATGGGGCTCTGCCACCAGACTTCTCTTCTGGGGAACAGTGACCTGCAGGTCACCTCCCCAGGAGCCACGTGGAGGCTGCAGGGGCTGGAGATGGGGCAGGAGAGCAGGAACCCCCCAGATGTGCAGCACAGGGCTCGTATGGCTCAGAGAATTGCCCTTGGCCCAAGGGGAGAGATGGGCTCCTCTGAAAGAATGGGATGTTGTGGGAGCCAGCCTGGGAGCATTCCAGCATCTGATTCCTGCAGAGAAGCCAAGAAGAGCATTTCCTTCAGGTTGTCTCTCTTTTCTTCTTCGCATGCACATTTTGGGAGCAAATCTTTGTTTACAGGGTTGTGGGGGTGTCACCAGGAGTCTGGGAGGGGATGGTCCCCTCAAAGGTGTCCCTGCAGGCTGGCTGCTCACAGAAACACTGCAGGAGGAGAGGGGAGGGTTTGGTGCCTCTCTGGCGTGGTGGGAGGGGATTTGTGTGATAAGGTGATTTTTACAGGGCCTGCTCTCAGATGAAGGCTGGGGCAGGACCCAGGGAAGTGGCACTTGCAGCACACACGGGGCTGGGCAGGATCCCTGGGCCATCCCAGTACAGCTCTCCCCATCACCCGAGAGATCTGGTGTCCAGTGGGTGCCACACTCTGCTTGTGGCAACTTCTTCTGCCCTGGTGAAAAGCTCAACCTCCTTCCTGAGTGTAGGAACAGCCCACTGCAAGGATGGATTGCCCTGGAGAGGAATGGCTGTGCCCTGGGGACAGGGAGAGGGGCTGGCTGTGCCCTGGGGACAGGGATTGCCCTGGAGAGGGGCTGGCTGTGCCCTGGGGACAGGGATTGCCCTGGAGAGGGGCTGGCTGTGCCCTGGGGACAGGGAGAGGGGCTGGCTGTGCCCTGGGGACATGTTCAGGCTGCTGTTCAGGAATTGGGGTGAAGGTGATCAGGACTGTCTGGCTGCCCACCCCGTGACTGCTGGTGGCACTGGAAAGGATGGGGATGGATAGGGGCAGGGTGTGTGAGCTGTCATGGCTTTTTGGCCCCATGTCACCCTGAGGGGTGTCTCCCCACCCTGCCCTGCTCCATCCCTGGCCCTGTGTGTGCCCAGAGCCCTGTCCTGGCCCAGCCCTCACTGCTGCTCCCCCCAGGCATTGCTGCTGGCTCAGGAGGGTTTGTGGCCACTCTCAGCTGGGCTCTGTCGCCTGGGCTGGGCAGACACATCCATTGTGCTGCTCTGAGGGGCTGGGAGGTCGGAGGAAGCTCTTGAGCTGCTGTTTCTTGCCCACAAATCATCTGCAATGAACACTAATGTGTTTAGTGCTGCTGAGAGCTAAAAGGAGCCCACGGGGCCGGGCTGACACTGCCTTTGCTGCAGGAAAAGCTCTCTGCTGAAGCCTTGAGCTGCAGTCTCCTGCGATTGCTCATCTTGAGCGTTTCTGAGTAATGTTCTGACCCATAAGGTCACAAATTTGCATTTGGATCTGACACGCTACAAAACGAAAGTATGTTCTGATACCTGTGAGTTGCTTAATTTATTATAAACAAGAGAGAAAATTCCAACCTTCAGGAAGTGTCACCAAAAAGCTGCTGCTGGTCTTCCTGTCTAATTGTGTGTAATAAATCACTGCACAGAGTTTAAACCCTGAGCAGTTTGGTTATTTGCAGGCAGAGCTAGCAGGAGCTGCAGAGCCTGGTGTGGGTTCCAGCACAAAGAGTGTTTGTTTTACAGGCTCTCCAGGGTGTGAATTGCAGGGTTTGGAGACGCTGAGTGCAGATGAACCCAGCCAGTTCTGGAGGGGCACTTGGCATCCTGGAAAGGCTAAATGTAGAATGGGATTGGAAAGAATGGGAAAGCAGAGGGAGGTTCTGCACTGAGCTGCCCCCTTTGGGGGTTTTGTTCCTTCTGGTGGCTGAGGGACAGCTGTGATAGCCCCAGCACAGACGCGAGCCAGGGTTTTGGAAGGGAAGGTGGTACCTTTTGATCTCGGGAATGCTGTGTGTACCTGGAATCACAGAATCCCAGAGCAGCTGGGGCTGCCAAGGCAGGGTCACCCGGAGCAGGTGACACAGGAACGTGTCCAGGTGGGTTGGGGATGTCTCCAGAGAGGGACACTCCACACCTTCCCTGGACACCTGATCCAGAGCTTTGCCACCCTCGTCGAGAAAAGTTCTTCCTCATATTGGGTGGAACTCCTTGTATTTTAGTTTATGGCCATTAGAGCTCCTCTAATTTTTCTCTTTGCCAGCTGCTATGTTAAAAAGTCCTGGCCTGGGCATCTTTCCTTTCAGGATTTTAAGTCCAAAGAGCACAGTTTGAAGTTGAACAGCCCCTGCCTGTGACAGCTTCTGGCTGATTTGAGCACTGCAGTTGGTGGAACTGGCACAGGGTGCCCAGAGCAGCTGTGGCTGCCCCTGGATCCCTGGCAGTGCCCAAGGCCAGGTTGGAGGGGGCTTGGAGCAGCCTGGGACAGTGGAAGATGTCCCTGAGATGAGCTTTCAGGTCCCTTCCAACCCAAACTAGTCTGGGATTCCGGGACTCAGTGTGGACCCACATTCCTGCACCCCACAGTTTTTGGGGTGTGGGAGTTTGTCTGCATTTTCCCCATCCCCCCCATTCCCTGCAGGACACACAAGCCTCATGGGATGTGTACAAGCTGTCAGAAGGAAATGTTTGCTGCCTGGTGGGAATGGGCAGCCTCACAGGGAGCCACGTGGAGCTGTGAGTGTGCTCCAGGGCTGTATTCACACCCTTCCCTGCTCCGGAAATATCCTGCTGGGAGGAAACTGCAGGTCAGGGGTTTAATGCATTGT